CCCTGAGTTCAATCCCCAGTACTGCCCCCCTCAAAAAAAATGTCTTTGTATGTTATCATATGAGATACAGTTATGTTTTTCGGACTAGCTTTAGGACCATCATGCACATCATTGCAAAATATATAAAGACCCAATACCTTGCATTATTAAATAATTCAATCTTCCATAATCTGAACACTACCCTACCCCAGAAAAAAGAGCAGGTATTATTATCTCCTTCATTTTGCAGATGAGCTAACTGAGCCTCAAAGAAGTTCCCTGGGGCTTGGGGTGTATAGGGGTGTAGTTCAGTGGTAGAGCCTGTGTTTCATTCCTAGTACCAAAACAAAAAACAACAACAACAACAAAAAACAACAAAAGGCCCCTTGATTTGCCTGGTGGCAGAAGCAGAATTCAATGTGAATTACCTGACCTGCACACAGGCTCCTATTATGTTCTGGAAGATAGAAGGTTGCAGTCATATGATCTTGTGAGATAGAATTTTGAACACATCTTTTTCCTTGTGAAAAACAAAAACTCCAGTTGGGAGCTTTGTTGTCTATAGTTAAGTTTGAGGACTATGTTGACACAGGGTAAGGGATCTTTATGTTACCCCATGATGGACACACAAAATGTGGTACATCCATAAGATGAAACTGTGTGAGAGGGACATACTGTATTATGGATGGAGCTTGAAAATGCTGGCCTGAGAGAAGCCAGTCACCAAAAGGCCAGAGAGGACATGATTCCATTCCTATGAAATAACCAGAATAAGCTCATCCATAGAGACAGAAAGTAGGTTAGTGGCTGCCAGGGGCTGGGCTGGGAGGAATGGAGTGACTGTTAATGAGTGCGGGATTTTCTTTTTGGGGTAATAAAAATGTTCTGGAACTAGATAGAGGGAATGGTTCCAACAACATTGTGGATATAGTAAATGCCGCTAAAGATTTTAAAATGTTAAAATTGGTAAATTGTGTTATATGTATTTTATACAATGAATAAAAAAGTTAAACCACCATGGGGTTTTTGCTTTGTTTTGTTTTTTAACTTTTAGCCTTTGAAAAGTGATGGAAGATGCACTCTAAAACATCTCACTCTCTTGCCCATCTGCCTGTCCACTGAGCAGGTTTGAGATAGCTTGGTGTGTCCTGCGTCACAAATGCAACCCAGCCAGGGGACTGTGGCTGTGCCCTGCCCTGTGCCCTGCCCTGGGCTTGTGGTAGGGCTGCTTGAACTGCTTGCTTACTTTCGATTTGTGGGGCACTGCGGTCATTGATCTGTGTGACTTTTCGCAGGCGAGTTCCTTGCTGGATATCAGCCAACAGGGCACTCCGACCTTTCGGATCTGGCTTCCTCAAGCCTGAAGTGTCAGTGCTGACCTGTAAAAGAAGAAGAGGTTTGACTATAATTGCATGTAACATTCACAGAGGAGCAGAATGGCCTGACTGCTGGGAGCTCTCCTACTTCCATACCCCCTTCCCAAAGCTGACCTCGTCCAGGCAGTTACCTGCAGCTATCACTGGAGACTGCCTCAGTCCCGACCACACCTCTCTTCCTGAAGCCTAGAATGGACTTTTTCTTTTAGAGGCCTCAAGCCAAGTGTCCATCTTGTGCATAAAGTCCTGGAGGCCTCAAGGAGCCCTCAATCATAGCCCCTTTCCCCCCTTCCTGGTAAGCTGCACCCACACACTTGGGCTTCCATCTGTGCGTCCCTACCTCCTGCTTCCAGGTTCTGAATGATCACTCTGCCGGGTGTCCCTAGGTTACCCCTGGACCAAATCCTAGACTGCCCCTACCTTGTGGATGGGAGATGCTCCTGCGCCATTTGGCTCTAGACTACTCTGAGCAGTCCTGAGGTGTTGCTCAGTCCTTTGGTGGTCACATCCTTCCAAGGTTAGGGCCCAGGTGGCCCATCATGGGCCTATTACATCTCTTAACTGAAGCCAATTTGGATTCTGGGAGCCGGTTTTGAGGGAAGTGATAGCAATCTTCATGTGATTTTTGGAGCAGAGAGAAGAACTGCGGGGTTCCACAGAAACTGGGGCCCCACAGAAACTGGGGCCCAGAAGGTTCAGAGAAAGGTGGGGCAGGGCTATAGAGACTGAGTGACTAATAGCTCTGTGCCTGGATATGTCACATCAGTCTTCACGAATCCTTGTGAGTTTCAAGAGACCTTGTTCTCCTTTTCACAGAGGAAGAAACTGAGTCTAAGAAATCATCTCTTAGAGGTCACAGGATTGGGATTCAACTCTAAATGGGCTGAATCCTGAAGGCCACGTACTTTTTACTTTGCAACACCAGTGATCAAGGTCACATGCCATCTTGAGTTTATGTGTCCTAGAGACTGCTGAAATGCTTCATAAGTATCTTAGCAAGAACAACTTTGTCCTAATTCTGCAAGTAGTTCTGAGATCCAATTGCTTTCCTTCCAGATAAAAGGTGTGGGAGGTTGGCAAAAGGGGAGGGAGAGGCTGCACTGGAAGACACAGCCATGGAGATTCGCTGCACTTAGGACATTAATGCCATGCGACTTTAGAGACCATTAAACCTTTTTCAAGGCAAGAAATACTTCCTAGTCCCTACTGAAGAAAAGACTATGTTTCTTTGGGTTTCAGTTTAAATATTATCATTTTGGAGTCTTTTCTGCTCCCAAATTTAAATAAGATCATGAACTCTTCTGTCTTCGAGTGTTATATTTCCATTTTCCTCTGTCACATTTATCAGGGCATACAAGTTTATAGTTATCTTTCCATGGTTCTGGCTATGAGTTTTATGTTCGTTAACCCCAAGGACTCTCTATTAGTATATCCTCAAAGAGTAGAACAGGACCTGGCCTCAGACAGGTCCAATAACTATTTTCTGTGCAGATGAATGAATACAGGCGTGAACTACACTTAGGAGGTGTAAGACATTGTCCTTGCTCTCAAGGTCATGCACATGTGCCAGAGTCATGGACACACAGGGTGTTTAGCCAACCTGTTACATGATAGAGCACCCACTGAGTCCCATAGAGAGGAAGACCACAGAGGGTTCAGATATGGCCACATGTATGAGCCCAGCAGTCTTCAGGGAAGGATGTGAGACCTGGGAGGGCCCTTGACATGTGCTTGGAATTTATAAATCTTTGTTATCACTATTTTCTCTTCAATAAAGGGCAAAGCAGGCTTGCTGACTAGAAACTCAGGGGCTCTGTAGTGTCTCAGACTAGAAGTGAAGGCCACTGTGGTTTGGGCTTAAATGTGCTGAGTCCATATTTTCACTGGCTGACTAAGCTCAGGTTATGAATCTTGTGCTGGCTTTGACAGGTACGAGCTTCACTGTCTGGATTTTATTTCCTACAAACATGATTTTTGAGATGGGCTTATGAATGATGGTCATTAAGGCACCTGTAAGCAAGTGGCCCAACCCTAATTGATTGGCTAGATTTAGATATACACATAGATATGTATACTATGAATATCTAACTGCACACAGAGAGCAGGATATTTCCCATACAACATGTTCTAAAAATCCCCTCTAAAACCATTGATGTCAGAAGTCATTTTGCACTGCAAAGTTTAAGATTTTTAAACTCTCCTTTCATTTTATTTATAAGTAAGGGATCAACAGAAATACTAAAACCCTTGCCAAGAGGGTATTCATTTTTTTTGGTATAAATTTGGTATTACGGTCTTATGTGTATTATGGTCCGAGACACAGGAGAGGAAGTGCTTCATCAATTTCTTCCTGGGCATGGGATAAACAGCAGTGAGTTATAATGATATTCATGGCCCAACTCAGGTCAGGGTTTATAAGGCACATTTTTCCATTTAAAGAAGCACCTGGAAGGCAGAGAAAACCCTACCTGTCACTACCCCTGGGAGAGGGGGTCCCCTCATCCAACTCACCCTCAATTTCCTATTTGTTACCACAATGCACCGCACTTCCTGACCTTGCCTATCCCAGGTGTTGCAGGTTAGGGCTATGAATTATAAGGAGTGGCAATAATGATTTTTATTTTAATACCTACTTAGCACATGCATCAATAAAATCCTCGATGATGCTATATGACCGATTTGTTAATAAATATGTTCTACATTGTGGCAGGAAATGAGGATCAGGACACCAAGAACTGGCAGCAACACTTTATTAGTAGCACCAGAGCCCAGAGGGATAATTCCCAAAGTCTGAGCCCTGAGTACAGCATGGTTTTTACTCTGGTATATAAGCAAGTTTTGTTTACTTTTTTTTTTTTTTAATGTGGTGCTGGGGATTAAACCCAGGGCCTCATGCATTCGAGGCAAGTACTCTGCCATGGAGCTACAACCTCAGCCCCTTATAAGCAAGTTTTGGGTATATCAAGGCAAGGGAGTTGGTGCAATTCTATTGGAGGGTGCAGTCTACATTTTGTAAATGGGTGCAAGCTTGTCAACAGCCTAGGGACTCTTAGCTCATACACATTGGGGACTTTTACTGCACTAAGGGGATTGTTCTGTCCCTGTTGCTTTGTCTCCTGCTTCTGCTGCTGTGGTTTTCTGTGACAGGAACCCGCTAGCTGCTGCAAGCTTCTATGGTTAAATGTCACTATGTTGAGCTGCTGTGGGTCAGCATGCAAAACCACAGCCTGGCAGCTCTTAAGCTGCTAAAGTCACCATTTTGCTCCACCACAACATCAGTAGAAGCACATGGCCAGTCACATTACCTTTACACCATCAGTTCAGATCTGCCCTAAATTTAACATTCCTTCTCCTTTACTTCTAGTTTTTTCCTGCTCCAGTGTCTGCTTTGGTGATTGTCCTCTAGAGGGCTCCCCGTCACCTGGTATCCTTCCACCCTCTCCTCTCAAGTGAGGCACAGAAGAATTATGAACTGCGTAACTAAGGTGTCCATATATATCTAGACTTAATAGGTTTTCTACAAGAGGATGTATTCATTCTCACATTGAAGATCATAGTACCCAATGAGAGTTGTTCTTACTCCATCCTTAATATTTATCCATAATTTCCTTTTCAAAAAAATCTTCTACAACTTGTTACTGTGGTTACGGGATGCAGTAACAGGAGGGAAGATTCCTGGCTGTTTTATTCTATGCAAATCCTGATCACTGGTAACTATACTAAAAATATCATAAAGGGAAAGAAAGCCACGCCTGGACAATTTTCCCACTGCAACTCTTTACACCAAAAGACCAAAAACAAGCCATCATTTCAAAGATAACTAATGTTAACAACATTATTGAGTATGAAGATCGACTGGGTTCCACACGAAGCTTTAGTTCACTCAGTTTCCCTACAACAAGCTTCAAAAGAAATAGCCCAGGATCTGAAAAGATGCAAAATATGCACATTAGCTCATCCCCTGCGGTGTAAAGATGGAAAACCTGAAGTGAGCCAGTAAGAAGACTAGAGGCACGGAAATCGAATGACAGCACTAACAGAGCCAAGGGTCGGATGAAATTGGCGAGGGGCCTTTCTTCTTATCTTGATAAGTTATAAGGTCTTTGCATTTATAAGGGCTTGTCATTCCAACAAATGAGTCAGCCATGATACTGTTTGAAATGCACGTCCCCTGTTATTTGCCACCTTGCCACCATATGCCATTCCTGCATCTGTCTGATCCTGGTTTTTGTGACAAATGCTAATAAAAATCTCGCCAGTTGACCCAAATCAAGAGGTTATTGCTCTCAAAGATGATCTAAACCCAGTCAGCCTAACACGGTTTCAGTCTCGCAGTCTCCGTGGTGGCTGTTAAACTAACAGCAGTGCCCGGTTTCCTGGCACGTGGCCTGCTCATCACCCAGCCCTCAGCCTCCCCCTTCTCCCACTTGACACAGACTGGTGTCAGCAGCCAGGGCACTTGCAGTTCATTCCCAAGTCTGAATCACAAGAACATGCCAGAATGGCAGAGTCTCCTGCCTGCTGCTACGGTCTTTATGTAGAACACAGGGAACCCAGGATCCAGAATAGAGATTGAAATATTTTCAGAAAAAAAAA